GATTCCATTTTTAAATGTATGCTCACGACCAAATTGACAGGATAGAACCGGATTTTAGATAAGCTAAGTCAATGGTATTATTTTTAAACAGCATTCAAAAGGTCATATTGCTACAAAGGACCCAAATTAGTAATCTAATTAAATCATCCACAAAGTGACAGATCCCGGTAACAGCAGTCAGTTTGTTATTACAGAGCAATTATTAAAGTGAAATATTGCAAGATGTTATGTATCATTATGAAATTCTAAACATTTCATTTTGAACAGGCAGAAAAGTGGAGATTAATCAGTTTGTTGATAAGTTAAAAGCCCCTTTATTAAAATATTTGTATCACTTGTATAAAGGAGAACACCATTGAAGCTCTAAGCTGACTTAGGGTCACACTGAACTGCATTCCTTTAGAATGTGTCTGTAGCAGGGCTCATATTGCACAAATGCAGCATTTAATTTGTGAGATTAATATCTTTTATTTTGATATCCCATTTATTTCAAGTAAAATGATTATAGCATAGCACAGATTATTTGCTTATAGAATATTTGCATTTTATAATAAATGAGCATAAATGTTTTATGAAATATTGGAATTTTCAAAGGATCAGTGAGCATTCTTTCTAGTTCTTTTCCACTTAGTTTCTGGCCTTCAGTATACATAGGAAAATCTTTATTGGTTTCCAAATATTGCACTACTACAACTGGATCACTTAAATATTTTTCAGTTTCGTGACTAAACAGACAGGGTTCTTTTTCCAGACTCTATGAGGTTTTAATTTCATAACCTAGGAAAAGTTACCAATTTGTTTAATTCACCATATTCTTAGTTATAAAGTCAGTTTGAAAATTTCTTCTATGATTCGATTCTATTGCAAAAATTATATGCTTGCATCTATACACATAGCATATATACTATTTATCATGCATGTACACAAAAATTATCATTGTCCAATTTGTATTAATCTTTAAGAAGTAGCAGTCAGTTTGTGAAATTTATTTGGAACCATTGTTGACTATTTTGAACAAGTTTATATGCTACAGCATAGTGTGTGGGCATGGGGGTAAGAAGTCATTGACTTATTATGTTTGATTTTTGTTAGAAAAGCATGATTCCATTTACTATTTTTATATACTGATATACATAATATTAACTATATACTGATACACATATGTTCTCCAAGCACAATGTCCTGCATGTCGCCATGTCCCACCATGAGGCTAATGGACTAAACCTCTGAACTGTAAGCCAGCCCATTAAATGTTTTTCTTTATAATAGTTGCCATGGTCATGGTGTCTCTTCATAGCAATAGAAACCCTACCTAAGAAAATAATCCCTATGAGAAAATTCTTGTTACAAATAAAGGGCAAAGATCTATAGCCTTCAAAAACAGGGATTATTTTCTGGGCTGGATATAATTTGGACAAAGGGAAATGATTATAATTTCTTATAGTGAGCCTACTCTGGTTTGTTTAGTTTGCTATATCATCCTCTGTTCTTACATGAGATATGGGAGGATGGAGAATTACTTTTCAGGAACTCATAGCATGCTGGGAAATAGATACAGATCTTACAAACATCCATGACCATTCTCTGTAACCAGTGCTGAAGCACTGGTTACTGTTGGGCTGTGCAGAGAACTTGCTTTGGCTTTGAGAGAAGGATAGGAAGTTAAAAGTAGGAGAACAAAATAGGCATTTAAATTCAAAAGACCAAAGTTGACCAGGGCTTAAGGCTATTCAGCCAAGAGGAAAAAGGTGGACTTCTTGAATGACAGGTTGACTGGTTATCAAGACTGTGATCTATTTGGAAGTCACTCCAGAACTTATGAGCAAGTACAGAGGATAAATCCTTCCTTTTAAGATTAATTTAAGACATAATTATAAGAAAATTATTTTCTGTTTATGTTTGGGCGAAGTTCTGCAAAGTTATTATGACTGTGCTATGTTAAAATAGGTTACTGCCAAAGGAAAAAGGCTTCAAAATAGCAGGAAATAAACTAATTAGTAAATACAATATTATTGCCTGGGTGTGCACTTCTATTTTCAAGGTTAATTATTTGCTTAATTAAAGCCTTCCAGATCAAACAGAGATGCTATTAAATAAAAATATTAGACAAACATAGTTCCCACTTGCAGATGAAGAGTAAAGTGAAAGCTTTAAACAGTTTATAGCATCTAACTTTTTCTAACTTTGAAGACTATTGCTCTTTGCCCTTTATTTGTATCAAGAATTTTCTCATAGGAGTATTGTCTTAGTTGGGATTTCTATTGCTGTGAAGAGACACCATGAGCATGGCAGTTGTTATAAAGGAAAAATACTTAATAGGCTGGCTTACAGTTCAGAAGTTTAGTCCATTAGCCTCATGGTGGAACATGGCATCATGCAGGAAGACATTGTGCTTGGAGAAGGAGCTGAGAGTTCTGTGTCTTGATAGGCAGGCACCAGGAAATGAACTCTTTCATTGGTGTGGCTTGAACCTACTTCAAAGTCCATCTCCACGGTGACACACTTCCTCCAACAGGGCCACATGTGTTCCTACAAGATAGTAACTCCTAACAGTGCCATGCCCTTTGGAGGCCATTTTCTTTCAAACCACCACAATTATCCACTATTTACATAGTGATATCCTTGCTTTAAATGGAATGAATTAAGACATACAGAAGAAAAGAATTTTCCTGAGATCTCATGCCTAGAAAATGGTGGAACCATGTGTTTTTATTCAAAGTTTATTATCATTAAATGTTATCAGTTGAAATGTTAGTGAAGTGTCAGACTGGAAAAAAAAAGAGTTTACAGTATACGGGGTGTTGTAGAGGAGAACACTGTTCTTTAAAGGGAAAATGCAAGCCACACAACAGAGGCACAGGACATGTAATGTTGTAAAAGAGAAGGATAAAACTGATTCAGAAGGAAAAACATTGAAGGCAATATCTAGAGTCAGTCTAGCCTTTTCTTTCTTTAAAATGTTTTAATAAGTTTTCACATATTTTCATCATATTATTTTCTTTCTCCTATCTCCTCAAAGAAGTTCCCCACCTCTCTACTCACCCAACTTTACGTTCTTTCTCCAAAACAAAATAAAAGCAGAAAACAAATATCAAATCAAACAAATGAAATGAATTAAACTACCACCTTTCCCCCAACAAATGTCTATAAAAATATGAAGTCCATTTTGTGCTGACTTCTGGGTATGGGGTCTGCCCTTGAGTGGGGTTGATAAGCTCAGAGAAACTCTATTAGAGAAAACAGATTTTCTCTTTCCCATTTATCAGTGTATCAAGTATCAATGTCATGTAGCTTCTTGCTTTAGTGTGGGAATTGTGTTTATTTTCCTATCTCCTTCCTTAGATATGCCTGGTTTGTACAAATGTTATGTGTGCTGTTATAGTCTCTAAGAGTTCATAAAAGTACTACTTCTGTTGTGTCTTAGAGGCATTTTTCCCTCTTGGCATCATCTACTACTTCTGGCTCTTAAAATCTTTCTCTTCTACTACATAGACCCCTGAGACTTAAGGCATGGGGATGGGTATGTTGATGAAGGCATCCCATTTAGAGCTGAGTGCTCCAAAGTCTCTCACTCCATGCATGCTTTCCAGTTATGAGTCTCTTTGTTAATTATCATATAATGTAAAAAGACACTTCCCTGATGAATGCTACTTTGATCTATGGGTATACAAGTATGTCACTAGGAGTCATTTTATTGCTATGTCCCTTAGAAGAATAATGATAGTAGATTTTCCTCTAGGGCCAAGAACCTATCTTGTCTCAGGTTCTTGTCCATTTTACCAGTGTCAGTTATGGGTTCCATCTCATGAAATGGGCCTTAAATACAACTTTAAAAGGGGCATTGATTGTTCCCATTATATTTGTGCCACTATTGCAAGAGTATATCTTGTAGGTAGGTCACTGTTTCAAATCACAGGCTTGTAGCTGAGTGATACTTATTACTACTTTTCTCTTCTGGTAGCATGCAAGAGCTTCTCTATGAAAGAGAAGAGACAAGAGAAAGAAAAAATACATTACATGAAAAAACTTTATTACATGAATATAGCTATTTATGTTTGAAGTAAAGGCTACTAAGCCAGTAGGTTGGTGCCATTTCTGCCCTGGTGCCCAATAAAGATATGAATTTACTAATGATAGACTTGTTAGTTAGATTTCTTTTAAAGTGTAGGAGGCTTTCTTTGGTCTCTTTCGTCAGTTGTCATAAGCCAGGTTTTTCTTTTGGATACTTGGTAAGTATACAAATTATCTCTTACTTAGTAAGTAAGAGAATGCTCATTATAGATATAAAGTGCCTTTATCGTCATATATACATAGCCTTGGTCAATCACAGGCTAAGAATTCAAATGAGTTATTCCTGCTTTTATAAATTTCTAATCTGTTGCATTTGCTGTAAAGTACAACACCAAATCTGCTCTTTGCGCTTTTTGAGAAGTGCTACATTATGCACATGCACTACATGATGATTCACGAGTCTCAGGCAAGGTTCTGAGATTGACACACACACACACAGACAGAGAGACAGAGACACGGGGACATGGGTCATCCTTGAATTCCCCTAAAATGTCCCCTTTTATTGTGCACCAGGGCAGCTTTTATAGGGATCCTTAAGAGATAGCCACACCCCAGTCAAACCCACCAGAAACCACTCCCCTGCCATCAGTAACTCCTGATGGTCTCATCCTCAGAGCAGCTCCAAACACAGGAAAACAAGTTGTTTTGCTCAGAATAGCTGCAAGCATTGAAAAACAAGGAAATTCAGGGTCTGGGAGGTCCACATCTACTACAATTTGCTGTGCTTTGATGATCACCAGGATTTAAATATCAGCCTATCCTTCCCTGATCTAATTTCTCCAGCCACTGCTTACTTGAAGGTAAAGAGTGCTAGTCGTGCAAGCCCCTCCTCGCGCTCATTTCCTGTGGCAGCCATACTTGTGGTTCTTGTGATAATAGTTATGTCCTAGATATGATGTGCTTACTCATTACACTGATGTCTTTTACAGAAACTTCCTCTTTGGGAGCCAGGACGGGTGAGGAAGAGCTTACAGAGCAGCAGTTGAGGGCAACCTCAGGTAATTATATCTGTTCCTTTCATAAGTTATTCTTGTCAAAAATAAGCTGCACCTGTCATTCACCTAATTTATGGAAACAATGTGCCACAGAACTGCTTTATTCAGTTCCTTATACAGATGAATTAAAAGCATGATTAGGCATATTCAATTTTTAGAAATATATAAATGGATTTAATTTGTAGAGCAGTGTCAGGTTCTCAGCAAAATTGAAAGGTGTGACTTTGGTGTACCATTGTTATATCATTTGTAGACCATTATTACCATTCCACAGTATGGGTAACGCATAAGAGACCCTTCTGGGAAATAACATATCTATGCAAATGAGAGGGAAACATATTCAGAATCAAATAGCTGTGGTAAATGATATGAAGTATGTGATCTGTAGAAAAGAGCTTCTTAACTTTGAGTCTGTATAAATGGTATGAACACAGCATAAGATATTGTAAGAATAAACTGCTAAACTGATTGTTTGGTTTGGATACCAATTGGGGTGCTCATCCCTGCAGAAGGCTTATTCTCTCAGCAGTCCTTTGTTGCCAGGATTCTTTGTTTAGTCGTGGAGCACACGGATATTCCCCTTTTATGTTAGCACAGTTATTGTTGCTGTGTTTGTTCAGGTATTATTTAGGCAGCCATATTGCTGAGGTATCATGAGCAGCTTTTCTGTCATTTCTGGATACACAGCCTCACAGCAGATTGCCTGGTCTTCTGTATCTGACAATTTTTCCATCCCCTTTTCTTTGATGTTTCCTGAGCCTTAGGCACAGGAGTTATAGTGTAGATGTATCTGTTGGGGAAGGGAACCCCAGGATCAGTTTTCTATGCATTTTGATCAGTTGTAGTTTTCTATAATGCTCTCCAAGTGATCATCTATATACAAACAATACTAAATAGACACATTATCTTCCATTTATATATTACAGTAAAAATGAAATAAAAAGAAACCATGAATTTGATAGGGAACAGGGAAGAATATGGTTGGAGGGAGGAAAGGGGAAGGTGAATTATTGTAACTGTATTTTAATTAAAATTCTTACTGAATAAATTAGTATATCAGGTAAATAAATTTATTATACTCAATTAAAAAAGAACGCAAATTCTTGGACCTCACTGCAGACCTACAAGTCAAAACACTGTATGGGAATCCAAGAGATGATAGTGGTCGCTGGCTCTCAGGACCTTATCATTTGAGCAAAAGGTAAGGTATCATTTTAGAAGCAGTGGTGAGGATTTGGTGAGGAAGTGGCTGATGAGATAAGTCCTGACTTATGAAAATTGGGAGGTATGAATAAAAACTTGGGAGTATACTACCCCATGAAGATGGGAAAAAATTGGCTTCATTACAAGAAGTTAAATAAGGCTAACACAGGGGAAGAGTAATAAATAAGGAAAACAGATGTGTAAGACACACCCAAAACTAGGCATAATCTAATTAGTTCAGTCATAGTAAACTTAAGTAAAATAATAAAATGCAAAAGTTCAAGCAATAGAAGAGATGGACTTTATTTACAATTTAGTATTCACTAAATATGAGTAGAAACAGAGTTTGCAGATGAATTGGATGAGGATATCGGTGTGAGGAGAAAAAACAAATCCTGTTGTGGTTGATGTTCAGATTGCAAACTAAATTGGTGAATATGGGCCAGATAGAATGTGGTTTGCTAAGCATGATGCTGAGTCCTGATCTAGAATATATTTTAGACATGTGTGTAGAGTGGGGCAATTTAATGCCATGTGTTTTAGTGAGTTTATCTAAAGAGACGACAGGGATAGAGAAGCGACTGGAGATATTCCAGTATTTGGTTGTACAATGATAGAGGCTCCAACACAGGGGATTGAGATAGAATGCTCTGAGAGGTACACCATGACCCCAAACAGTAAATTTTATGAGACCTGAATTACGCATAAAGGGGCATTAACATCTGCTGAACAAGAAGTGTGTTCTGTTTTCACTGGTGACTGCCAGAAGAGTGTTTGGTATGAAGAGAAGTCAAACTTCTAATATTTTTGGTACTTTCTTTTTTTTTTTTAAGATATGTAATAAAATGTGACTCAGTAGAAAGAAAATTTAAAGAAAAAACAAATTGAGAATACATTACAAAAGCAAAAGTTTATTTTAAATTTTATTGAGGGGAAATAGAAGAACTGTGTAATGTCTGAACTTCTCTTTTTTTTCTCCCAGTGTAATCTCCTTAGTTCAGTTTCTAGTCAGCGTTATCTTCTTGTCTGCCATGTCCCAGAGACATCTCAAAGTGCTTTAAGCATGTGTTTGCTTAAATATTCTTGCATATATAAATATATATTATATATTTAAATCTCTACTCTCATAAAATATTTACTTGTAGTGTAAATACATAATGTACAACCAATTTTGACATATAATGTTATTTAACATCAGTACACAGAAAGAAAACCACAAATCCACCCAGAAACATTAATTTTAATTCAAATTTCAGGAAAAAATTGTTGGAGAAGGAAACAATGAATAATAGTGGTGATATAATAGGACACTCATTTTTAAATATATGGTTTGGGTAAGAACCACTTTTAATTGATTTTTGCACGTCAGCACATAAGAAGCCTATGAAGGGGTTATTTTCAATTGATTTTCCCAGATGTTGAATCTGGTGTTTTCTAAGCTGGACACAAAGGAAAAGGGGAGATTTATCCAGTGAAAAGTGTTTTACTCCCTCAAATAAGGATACACTAGAGGACATAAATAGTAGGAAGGACCATTACAAACAAGGCTTGCAGGATATAACCTGGATCAGGAACATCACATGAAAAGGACATTATCACAGACATAGTCAGACATCACTCAAGGCTAAACATGCTTAAATTAGGAACTTTACAGCTGGGCTCAACAGTGTGTGTTTAAAACACCTTCCAGGCTCTTCTAACACCCAGAACTCTATACAGTTTTCAAGCAGTTTATTAAAGATCATTTAAAGAAAGATGAGTCTGGAGCATAGATCAGTACCAGGTGTCTGGAAGATGTCCTTGCTATGCCAAAAGATTGATATTTTTCTCTGTAGGTGATGAAGGCCACAGGAGGTGGATTTAATCAGGCAGTTAGATGTAGGCACATCAGGTAGAGGACAGAGTTCAAAGGGAAGATGCTGGACAAGAAGGCCATAGAGGATGGATTCTCATCCAAGTATGTGTTTCAAATGCAGATGCTCAGACTGAAGATGTCTGAGTTACTATCTGTCCTCTGCTTCTTCTTCACGTGATTTGAAAAGTATGTAATGGAAGCTGAATTGGTTTATCTAGTAAAAGTAAGGGGCAAGTGATCATTAGACCGGGAAGGGTAGAAGGAAAGGTTAAATTCAACCTTTTGAATTAAACAAGAGTAAGTTCTAATGTTCTACAGCACAATGTGGTGATCATTGATAACATTTGGTTTTGTTCTATGGAGAACCAGAGAGGCGTTCCCAACACACACAGAATTGTAAATAGCTATGGAGACAGAGACTCTAATAAATCTGATTTTATCATTGCACATTATATGAGTATTAATTATCTTATTATTCATATATCAAAACACTACATCCTATTTTATGCATATGTACAATTATTACATGGCAACTAAAGATGAAGTGTGTAAGGCTGGGCCAACTGCTGTTGTGGAAGACCATGGTTAGGTTCCCACACCTACAGAACAACCCACAACTAACTATAACTCCAGTTCCTGGGGATCCAGTGCCCTGTTCTGATCTCTACAGGCTTCTGCTTTCTTGTTATGCACCTGCATACATTCAGAAACAGCACACACACACACACACAAACACACACACAAGAATACACATACGAAGAAATGAATGAATTGTGCTATTCTTCTTTCACACGTTAAAAGCATGTCAATTGCTATGGAGCAAGAAATTAGAAATTCTACATTATAAATCATAGGACAAATTGGTTGTGGTTTTCCATTTTTATAATTAAATGAAAATATTCTAAGCTACTCACGCAAAACCTTTTAAGTCTGTTTGATGTGTGGGTGTAAAGGAGCCTATGATCACCATCTCAGGCATGTTTAAAATGCTTGACAAAGTTAGTTGGGCCATGCATCTGCAATACTTCTGTAAAAGTAAAACACATCATTTCATTGCTAGTCTAGTCTACTGAAACATTTAAGAATGAAGATACCACTTCTTTGTCCTGATATATGGGAAATTTTAGAGGAAGCTCACTCATTTTAAGCTAACGTAGATATACACCCTCATATTCAGCATATAAATAAGTATTTTCTTTTCCAAATTCTTTGCTTTTAGAGGAGACTGAAAGTGCATAGGCTGTACACCCAGCAGTGCTGTGGAAAGCCATACTGCTCTTTATTACTATTGCACGGAATGCAGTACAGGTTCAATAAAATTGAGAACTGCTCTAGCCTGTTTGTTTTAGAATTTCTCATAAAGTATTTATTCTCCTCAGTTCTATGGCGCTCTATTAATGCGTTAACATGTTGTCTATAATTTTCCTAGAAGACATTTTGTATCTTATGACATTTTACAATTGAGGAAATTCGGTATTTAAGCTAGAATGTAGTCACTCCTCCTCATCCAAAATCCTAGCCTACAGGTTTGTTAGCGAGAGTGGTTTCTTCACATTACATTTGACTCTAAAGCCTATTTATATAATGAATGTCAAATTTATTTATAAAACTCTCTTTGAGAATGAAAGTGACCTTTTATTCTGGCTTATATGGAATTTTATGGTGTGGAGAAATTACCTTGTGATTATTTTTTGCATGATTAAAAATTTGCAGAGTTCTTATGGCTCCAAAGAGCCTACCTGTAATAAACAGCTTTCGCCTTCGAAACCACAAAACAGGTCTGAATTGCTTGAGCATTAGAGCTAATTGCCTGCCTACTTCAAAGGCAGAACTGAAAATAGAGAGGGGGAGAAAAAAAACAAGCCTCACAGAAGCAGGGGCATGGCAGAGGAATCCACCACTCAGAGCTCTGAGCTGCGGCTTGGAGAAGCCAGGCAAAGTTATGGCCTCAGAACTGCTGTTTGCCATTAAGTTGATGGGAGCGTCTATCCCACAATCTTTCCCTGCTGTGGACACAGAGTCTTTGTTCACATTCAGATTTCTCAAACTGCTGCCGGGGTCAGGCTGAGGTCAGACACCACAGTGATGTATAGAAGAACATGTCTGGGAATTTCTCTCACACTTGAAACACATACCAGAAAATGAAGACGAGGAATTTACAAAAATCTGGCTGATGAGACCCAGATTATACTGTAGCCTGCTTTTTAATGCTTTCATATTTTTTTTCTTTTTCTGACACACAATGTTTTATTAATGGGGGTTGTGATAGCCCTAACAATTTTGTGTCCCCTGGAGATAAGGCCTCTCAGTAGCACTCTGACACTTCATTTTCTAGCCCTGGGGGAAGGTCCAGTAAATCTACTCAAAGAAGTCTTGCATCCTTCCTCAGGATGAGTTGAAAAGTAATTGTCATGAGCCTGGCACTTGATACCATGTCACGTGTGCATGTGGACTTGGCAGGGACACAGCCTAATCTGGTCATGATCTCAGCCTCCCAGTTCTTGAAGTCCTCTCAGGGACCGTACCCACACCCTAGCCAGCTGCTGTGAAAACCGGCAGATGTGGGGGTGGGGGCGGGGTGGGATGCTCACTGCTTATCATCAATAGAGAGAGCAATATAGAGCTACCAAACACTGAGGGTCTGTCTTCTTAAACGAAATCTTCCTGCATGTCTGTGCAAAGCGGCACCTTGTCAGGCAGTTAGATTGTCTTACCAAGGCTCTCTCCTCCATGCGAATAGGGCAAAGCTGGGAAGAATGCACCCGTATTCGCGTATCTTGGGGGGGGGCTCTCAGTTGGTCCCCACTCTTCCTTGAAATATATTAAATGTCCTGTTTTTCCTTCTTACTCGCACAGTTGCAGAGCATGGCTGAAAACTGAACCACTAAATAGATTTTTTTTTTGTCCTCAGCTGCTACATATGACAGTGGATATTTCATTCTGCTGCCAGAATGTTATTAATAAAACATGGGGTGTGGAGAGGGCCACGATTTCCCCTTTCAATCACGATAGCATTTGCAATGAAAATTTTATTCAGTGTGTAATTTTCAGTGAATGCTTGACACTTGAAATGTCCGTAACAGCATTTTGTATGGTTATTGAAGGGTTAATTGTATCATGTTCTCTGCATAAAAGCTCTGCTTATCAAAAGCAAATAGAAGAGTGTATGCAAATGTGTTCTGATGACCTTTTGCCTTTCCAGGGTTAATTTATATGGTCATTAAAGATTTTATGAAATTGTACAGCCTGGTGCTTCAAATCCCATTTTACCTTCTTCTCCTAATTTATGTAATTCCTACCTGAACTGGGGAATATGGCTTTTATTTTTGTGCTGCAGTGAAAACAGCATGCCATGCTGTGGGGAGTTGTGAGCCTGGTTATCTGGCATTACTCAGATTGCTAAAAATTCATTAAAATGTGACATCAGCACACTGAGAGACAAATGATCGCAGGATGAAAGAGAACAGTGGGCCTTTCACGGATTAGTGCTGCACAACCCCAGCATAGAGGCTAACTGCGTAAACAGATTAATCCACCAGCAGTGCCATGGCTGAGATTTACAGAATAATTAAGTAGGTTTGGGTTACTATGAGGATTTCCATGTAATCTAGCTGATGTGATTCTGTGAATGAGGTGTGGGGTGGTACAGTGGTCTTACAAGTACCGTGCTATGACAAAGCTCTGTGTAGCTCTCCTTTACAAACAAATCCCCAGTGGAACTGAAGTTTAGGTATCTTATCTAAAGAAGTTTTAAGGAATCCATCCAAGATTTGAAGTCGGCCTGCAGGAAGAACACCTGTCCTTTATGTGAACCACTGTTTCCATATTATCTCACTGAGAATTTCTTCTGTGTGTCCGGCTTGTTCACATGCCTGTGCTCCTAGTCCATGAAAAGTTCAACAATTGAAATTATAGTTTTCTTCCACCCATTTCCCCTTATCTTTTGCAAGTTAAATTATAGTATAAACAATTTATTACCATTTAATAACATGCAAATATTCTCTTAGTACAAAAATGCCATACTTTTGAAGAAAAATTTGCATTAGTATAGTTAATATAGTATAGTTTTAATGTAGACTTCTGCTTCAATGCATTTTTTTTAGTAGGAAGTTGTATAGATAATTCATAGGTCAAACTCAAAGATATACAGGGTGATAAAGGTCACACAGTTGATATTAGTGGACATTTTCTGGATTTATCAATTCTCACTGACCCGCTTTTTTAACAGAAGATCATAGTGAAGAGGCAGGAGGAGTTCTGAAGCCTACCGAAGTGACTGAGGATAACGAGACGGAGACACAGAGGGACAACAGCGAAGGCAAGAACTCCAAGAAAGACCCTGGTAAGCTGCTCGGCTGTCTACTATTCCTTCTCCTATACTCATCCACGCCCCGAGGCCAACCTCCCTTCCCTGCATCCCCCAACGAAGCTCATTAAACGCCTTTATTCATTTTAAACTGTCTGAACATTCCCACTACTATTCATGGTGTGTGCATTTTGCATGTGATTTCTATCAGTAGCCTCCCATTGACCTATTTTTAATCATAACCATCTGACAGAATAGATGTGGATAAGTTGAAGAATATTACAGGATGACTAGTGAGATTATTTTTTAATCAAATCAGTTTGTGTGCTTGTAATTTTTTAAGCGCCTTTCATTAATCTTAGCTATACTTGTGATTCCTCTGATGGCATATTAATTTTTCATAAGCTCAGGATTAGATATCACTTGAATTTTATCATTCAATCATATGCACCCTCCCACACTATGTAACCCTAAAAAGAAATGCTTCTCTCTCTCTCTCTCTCTCTCTCTCTCTCTTTCAACTTACACTCAGGAATTTGCCCTTTTTAAGGGCATCTATTTGAGGCATTTCAAACAAAATCCAGTGGAAAAGTTTACAGATGATTCGGCCTAAGAAGGAGGAAATATCATTGAAAAGGGATTAGGTGCTGGGCAATTTTGGTCTTCTGGAATAGACAAATCCCAGTAATGAAAGCTACTGTCTTTGAAAACAAACCTTCGTGTCATGACATTTACTTGTGCACAAACAAACCCTAGGCCAGCATCTGGTGTGGATACCTACGGCTTTTTCTGTGTTTGATTTGGCAAATATATGGCTTCATCCATGCTTTGTATGTATGAGATGGAAATCTGTGGTCGTGATGAATATTACATTGGCCACTTTTGCTGCACGCTATACCTAGTTTTATTATGTTGGACTCATTGATGCAGAAGAAGTGCTGAAACGAGTTCAAGCCTATTAGTCTCAGGTAGTCATCTATCTTTTCTCTGAATTCCAGTGACAGCTGCATATAAAAAGCCCTGTGTTCAGTAGAAAGATACAGGAGTGGACAAAATTCATCATTTTTTTGCTTATGAGTTTATTTAAATCTGAACTATTTAAATCTAAACTATCACATATTTGTAACTCAGTTATTACATGCTTAAATTTTGCATTTCCTTTCAAAGGTATATGAAGGGTTCTTTTCTTCCTCCCCAAACTCTTTAATGCTAAATTTCTCATAACAGTCCAGTGAGAAAGGCCTCATTGTTAGTTGCTTCTAGGACACAGTGTCCAACATTTGATTCTAATTTGAGTTAAGCAAAGAGGATCTAAGGTTAGTATTGCACCTAAAGCCACCTCTGTAAAGACACCATAGCAGTATAGGTGGACTCGTGAGGCAAATGACATAGACTTTGAAATACCTATTGTTGGGGACAGCCCCATGGAGATCTCATTTGAAAAAAAGGCTGAAAACAGCAAGAGAGCCAGTTTAGGCCATCTAAGATGGACCTCATTGAGATGAGTAACTTGCCAGTTTGCTGATAGTAGAATTCTCTTTGGTGTTTGATGCACTTGTTCCAGAACAGACTGTAAAGCATTTCCCCTTTGTTTATCAGAGGACTATATAAAATAGGAAGAAATCACAGCAGGGTTCACTGAGTGCTCATAGATGTAGAGCATGAAGCTTGATATTAACACCTATTGCCTAGGATCTTGTCAGGGATGGGTTGGGGGAGCATTTTTAAAAATGGATCCTATATTACTGTTGAGCATCACAGCAGAGAGGCAGGAGCTCTGTTTTCACCATGCAGTTTACTGCTCTGCATAAGTCGTGGGCTCAATTGCTCCCTAAAGGCCCGATGAGTTATTGTTCTTCTTTGATTCCTAATTGTGCCATATAGACAAGGTTGGGGTATATGGGAAGGCAGATCATTGCATAATGGCAGTTATTTAAAATAAACGTTATCGCTGTAAAAACGCATCCCCAGGTACAGAGAGTTGAAAATGAGCTCTAACCAAGAGCCAACTAAAAGCAAAGGTTGAGATGCAAATATTTAGCTTTGAAACCTTGCAGCCTTTAAGACAGCTCTTGTTACTTAAAACGAACACGAACTTTAAACAAAGTTCTGTGCTTCCTGAATTGAATCTTCTGGGATTGAAAATTTATTCCATGATGGTTGTTCTTTGTAAAAGTGTATTTAATGATTAGATAACCACTTATTTATATTCTTTTGTTCTCCTACTAGTTATTATTGCCAAAGGAAAAAGCAAACTTACAAAGTAATTGCTATGTTAGTATCGTACATGGGAAAATAGATTGACCCCACTTTAACCTCGGAATTTTTAGGCAAGAAGGAATTAGCACATGTCTGGAGCAGTGTGTTGGTAAGAAGCGGCTGTGTTCTGTTGCTAACATTAATCTGAAGGACTAGAGCTTTCAAAGTGAGACTTGACAATATGCAAGTTATATTTGCTGAATATTCATTCATAATAGAAAAGCTTCCTAATGCCTCATTTATATTGTCATTTAAATCTAGTGCCACTTTAGATTAATTATAATCCAAATTATAGCTCAGTGCCGTATGAGAATTAATATAGAGTTTATCCAGATTAATACATTTGCATTGAAAATGTAATATGTCTCTGCCATGGCTAAGGGGACCACTTTTTAATAAGGGAGTAAACATGAAGAAAGATGGAAATTAACCTTCATTATTGCAATTAAAATTATCCTTCCATTCTAGTCTCATTAGAAAAAATACTGTATTGGTAATTATAATTTTGAATTACTTGAGTTGAACAACATCTGTTACATCTGAATTTTAAAGTATTCAAACTTTATCAAATATAGATACTTGTAAGTAATAACTCAGCATTTTGATTTATTGTTTTTCAAGGTTCACTGTAACATGTGTGTTATTGGATTTCCTGACTTGTTATGAATATAAACCATTTTACAGCCTTCTGTATTTTAGGGATTGAGAATTAAGTAGGCGGCATCTGAATTGAAATGAATTATGTCATTTTTATATTAGCAATTTCTTGCAAGTTAAATAATCCTGTAACTGACAGATAATCATTGACTCATGTATTTGGCAGTGCTTATTTGTAATTAGACTTCATTTTTTAGTTAAAATTCATTAAAATGACATTGTTCTTTGAGAATATTGTGGTGTCCTTAACGATACAAAATAAATTATGATCTCATTTCAATTTTTTTTCTGCTCCAGGGTAACAAACAGGGTTTATTTCAAATGAAGTTGCACATATAAACTAAGAGTAATCACAAAACTTAATCAAAAGCTTTCCTAAAATTAATTGACCTCATTTAATACAAGGCATTTTTCTAGCATAACACAATTCAGGTAAAAGACAGTAAATTTGATTTCCTGTAATTTACCAGCCATGCTTCAGTATTAAATTTGATATAAAAATAAACAAAAAAGAATGTATGAAATGGTACATAGGTCACCTATCGAGCCACCTTGAAGACCTGCTCATACTCTAGAGTGTGTCTTGTTACTGAGTCCTGGAATTCTTGCCTTCTATTATTATCAAGAATCACTAAATTAATCAATATTGATGAGCATAGAAATTAAAACAGTATATCACTTACATGTACATAGTTATTATCAAACGTTTACACCAATGAATAGGCTTTGTATAACGATGCACACCTTCCAACCATACTGTTATTCATTCTTTAAAGTATCCTTTATAAATGTTCACGGAAATGGGTTCATGGCTGAATATTTAGTAGAATTAGAAGTATCTAGAAAGTTAATTTTACTTCTGATGTCCCAAGACACTTGCAAACAACAAATTAAGGGAATTATTTTTCAGCTTGTATGTGACAGTACAGGGAATTTAGTCAAGTTATTATTTGATCTTGTCCATTAAAGAATATAAGGGAATATGACATGGTATTACTCTCTTCAGGAAACACTGTTACTCATTAATGGAAACTTTTAAAGAAAAGTCAATCAGGAGAAGACAACTGATAGACATTTGTTATTTTAAATGACAATCATTTTGTACAAGTTGGTCTGACACATTAAGTAGCTAATTGTATTGGCAAGTATGTCCCACATTGCTTTTCTTAAAGAAGTTAGCACTTTAAAAGTGACACTAAGAGTACGTGCTTTCTTTGTTTGGAGAAATAAAAATAAATTTTGATTCCATAATTGTGTGAAAGCATCCCAGTTTGGGGAAATCTCATTGGACATCAAATACTTGAATATTTTTAATCAATATAATACGAGTTGTAAGTCTTTTTTTTCAAATTTACACAAATGTTACCTTTTCAAATAAGTGGAATAATACATGTACAATTTTTCTAAGAGAATGAAGTAGGTACAATTATACCACCTCAAATAAAAACAAGAAACAGTATCTAAAAAAGTATGTGAGCGACTGACTGCTATGATACATGCACCATGCACACCAAAGAAATAAAACCACAGTCATCTTGTCAAATACATCCTATTTTAATTTTGGTTACTTAAGAATTACTCTCATATGTTTAATTTTCTTCCTGATTTTTAAATTTCTGAAGCATTTATATGGTCCAAAGCATTCATTCTACTTAGGGTAGAAATAGAATAAGATTTTTTTTTTTGTTCTGTCTTTTTTACTTTCCATTTTAACTTGTTTCTAAAACATCCTTGACCTCGTTTTTAAATTAAAACTGGGTTATTTTGTAAAAAGGTGCAATTTGTTCATTTATAAGAACTGTATGTGGACTGAAAAAAAAACCAAGCTAAATCTTCATGTGCAGCATACAGGCAGATTGCCCTGGACTGTGCTTCTACGTGGCGTCTGATAGCAATCAATGGTTTAGCTCCACTGCCTCTCAAGATGTATTTGCACCCAGTTGTCCAGTGGTAGTGTCCTCACCCTGGAAATAATTTAGTTGCAAATTGACTGGAAGATGGTGAAAATTGAAAGTTAAAATTAGAAATACTCATAATAAACACCAGAAAAAAGGTCAGATGATGCCGTGCTATGATGAGATTGGAATGGCTGGTAAATGAGGTTTTGTGTTTGTCGTGAGATGTATGTGACATGCCTACCTGATGTCGCTGTAATATCCAGCTTCTAGAGGAGATTACCAGGCAAATTGATGCTGCAGAGAATTTTCTGTTAGATTGGAAAATTAGAATTGTGCTCCCCCCTTTTGATGTATGTGAGGTTTCTACACATTAATACTGCTCAACTGGGTAAAATTTTAGTCATCATTAACACAAATATTTGGATTAGACTCATAAAGCAGTTGTCTTCTTAAGATTCTTGCTGTAGTGTTATATGCATAGCTAGCTACCTTCTAAAACTCCCTTGTCCCCTACTCAAATCACCAATAGCAGAAATGAATTAGATATTCAATTTTAAAATGTTAAAAACTCTAAATCCCATCATAACAAACATATTATTGTTTTCATTTCTGAATTATAACTCATCAATCAGCTGTTCTCAGGATTTTGAAATATTCTCAGGACTTATGGATTTAGAAATTCATGTCATTGTACATGAGAGAAAATAACGATTTTCTAAGTCAGTATTTGTGAATGGGAGTAGATTTGCTTTAATGTGATAAAGGCATACTGAGACACCAAAGAACACATGTTATTGATGAAACTTTCAAGGCCATCTAGGGTTATCTAAACAGAAGACAGGAGTACGGTTTAAAATAGATGGGCAAAGTCCACTCAGTGGACAGAAGGAAGAATGGTTTTTGTGTTCTGAGATTAGCATCATATACAACTGCATGCCTGGTTTTCGTTGTTGTTTGATCCAGTAGATTGAGAGTCACAATTGCGTTATTTACTCCGATTGTAACACTACATTTATAAATTGAGTTGTCCTATCCATTTTGGGAATTAGGAGTAATCACCCCAGAGAAGGAGCTGAAAGTCAACGTGTCAGGGGGCACACAGCCACTCCTGCTGGCAAAAGAAGAAGATGCAGGAACAAAAAGGTCAAAACCTACAGAGGACAATAAATTTTGTCACGAACAGGTAAATATGTAGTTTTCCCATTGGTGCATGAATTCTTTTTATTTTTGTTTCTAGGTTTTTAGTCATTTCCAAATCGCCAACTCTGTGTACTAATGAAAGGCACAGAGACTAGTACTGCCTCTTGATGTTACGCCACACAGTCTGAAGGGATCAGATTATAGCAGCTAATAATGGTCATGTTTATTCAATCTTTTCCAGTTCTACCAGTGTCCTTATTGTAACTACAATAGTAGGGACCAAAGTCGGATCCAGATGCATGTCCTGTCACAGCACTCTGTACAGCCAGTCATCTGCTGTCCCCTCTGCCAGGATGTCCTCAGCAACAAAATGCACCTCCAGCTGCATCTGACCCATTTGCACAGTGTGTCTCCCGACTGTGTGGAGAAACTGCTTATGACAGTAAGGATGCTGAAGGCTAATGCAAAATTGATGGGGCCTGTATTGTTATCCATATACATCTGTAATGATGGGTTCATAGAAAGTAATTTCCCCCTGAGCTCCAGGAAGGTCTTTATTGACTCTGCCATCTAAGTCACAGTGGAGACCCATTTGTGGTCTTTCTTGTTTAGAAAAAAAAATACGATATTAAGTATGGCTTAATTAAGGATGTTTGTGGTTCTTTTTGTAACAGTGAAATGACTTTTTTTTTGGTACCTTTAGCTTAAAAGTTTCTTGGTTAACAGTAGTCCTCCCAAAACCTTAACGTCATAGCATGAAAAGAAGAATATAGAAATATAATAACACTGAAGTGATAGATGTCCCTGTTTGGGTTAGAAAACTGTAACTGTAATATCTATCTATAATATCAATCTATCTATATGTCTGTGTGAATATATATTCCAGAGTACATGTATATTCACACTTACATATTCCAGTATACACATATATTCAAATATATATTCAGTGACTCCAGAGCACACTTAACACCAATCCCTTTGGTGTTCCAAGGTGCCTGTCCCTGATGTAATGATGCCAAACAGTATGTTACTGCCAGCAGCTGCCCCCGAGAAGTCAGAGCGGGACACGCCTGCACTCATGTCAGCGGAGGGGTCTGGAAAATACTCAGGTATGCTTACCTTATGATGCTGCTGCATGTAGAAAACTTTCAAAGCTTGCCGGTGACAGTGCTCCCAAATTATCCTCCAAAGACACACACATACACACTACATACACATATATATTATCTTTGGGGGGTTACAACAACAAATACTCTATTTACTTCATTCCCAGCCCTTTCTCTCCCCATCCAACTCCTCCTGAGTCCTCGCCACTTCATTATTCTTTCACACACATTTGGTGTTGCCCATATGTGCATGTGTTTAGAGATGACAACTTCAGATTGGGATTGGGATTGAACCACCTATCAGGGTATTCATTCTTGAAGAAAACAGATTCTCTCTCTCTTTCATCAATCATGAATTGTTTGTAGAAGAGATCCCCCTTGTAAGACTCCTCCATCTTCACAGACATTTTTCAGTGACACAAAGGAAAATAACTTAGGCTGCTGCTCAGAGCATCATTTTCTGAGACCCTTTCACCATGACTATTTCTACCATCCTTAGAGAATTCTAGTAACAGATGGCCAAGAACATTCAAATTATGCTGAGTCGGGAACACCAAGTTCATGGCCCTTGGTAAAGCGCTTATTGCAGTACACTGTGGTTATTTTTGACTGGCATTCTTCTCTGCCCTTGAATTCCTTCAGGTCAGGAGTGATTTCCTGTTCATCTTCTAATGGACACCTGGTATAGTGTTTGCACATGGTAGTAACCCAATAACAGTGCTACACAGATTCAATTAGGGAAACATCATTCCTGGCTCCCACTTACACTTACTGACGTTCAAGTGGTCCATGTTCTTACCACAGGATATGTTTCTGCTTTCTCTTCACAGGTGAAAGCCCAGTGGATGACAAAAGTATAGCAGGTCTTGAAGAGTCAAAGGCAAGTGTGGAAATAAAGAGCGAGGAGCAGAAACCAGCAAAGGAGTCCTTGGAGGCCTCAGAATGGAATAAAAACAGCAGTAAGGACGTGAAAATCTCAGACCCTCTGCACGATCAACTGAGCGAGCAACCCAAACGGCAGCCCTTATCAGTTTCTGACCGCCATGTTTATAAGTATCGTTGTAATCATTGTAGCTTGGCTTTTAAAACTATGCAGAAGCTTCAGATACATTCCCAGTATCATGCAATTCGGGCCGCCACAATGTGTAACCTCTGCCAGCGGAGTTTCCGTACATTCCAGGCTTTGAAGAAACACTTGGAAGCGGGCCACCCGGAACTGAGCGAAGCTGAACTCCAGCAGCTGTATGCCTCCTTGCCAATGAACGGTGAGCTCTGGGCCGAGAGTGAAACGATGCCCCAGGATGACCATGGCCTAGATCAGGAAATGGAGAGAGAGTATGAAGTGGACCACGAAGGGAAGGCGAGTCCTGTAGGAAGTGACAGTAGCTCTATTCCAGATGACCTGGGCTCTGAACCAAAGCGGACCTTACCTTTTAGAAAAGGACCCAATTTTACCATGGAAAAATTCCTCGATCCATCTCGTCCTTACAAATGTACAGTGTGTAAAGAGTCATTCACCCAAAAGAACATTCTCTTGGTCCATTATAACTCGGTGTCTCACTTGCATAAATTGAAAAAGGTTCTGCAAGAAGCCTCCAGTCCTGTCCCCCAGGAAACCAACAGCAGCACAGATAACAAGCCGTACAAGTGCAGCATCTGCAGTGTTGCGTACAGCCAAAGCTCGACCTTAGAGATCCACATGAGGTCCGTGCTCCACCAGACCAAGGCTAGGGCTGCAAAGCTGGAGCCAAGTGGGCACCTAACTGGTGGGCACAGCATCACAGCCAATGTGAACAGCCCTGGCCAAGGGATGTTAGATTCCATGAGCTTAGCTTCAGTCAACAGCAAAGATACCCACTTAGATGCCAAAGAATTAAATAAGAAGCAAACTCCCGAACTAATCTCTGCTCCGCCTACCCATCATCCACCACCGCGGTCACCAGCACAAATCCAGATGCAACTTCAGCACGAGTTGCAGCAGCAGGCTGCGTTCTTCCAGCCACAGTTCCTAAACCCAGCTTTCTTGCCTCATTTCCCAATGACCCCAGAGGCACTGCTCCAATTTCAGCAACCCCAGTTTCTCTTTCCATTCTACATACCTGGGGCAGAGTTTAGCTTGGGGCCAGATCTGGGCTTACCTAGCTCCGCCACGTTTGGGATGCCAGGTATGACAGGAATGGCTGGTTCCTTGCTCGAAGATCTGAAGCAACAGATTCAAACGCATCACGTTGGCCAAACGCAACTTCAACTTCTACAACAACAAGCACAGCAATACCAGGCTGCACAGCCCCAGCTGCCGCCGCAAAATCAACAGCCGCCCCCACCACAGCAGCTGCCGCCGCAACAGCAAACGAGCAAACTGTTGAAACAAGAGCAAGGTAGCCTGGCAAGCACAGACTGCCAGCTCATGAAGGACATGCCAGCTTACAAGGAGGTGGAAGAGGTGACCGAAAAGCAAGAAAAACCAAAGCCAGAATTTACAAGTGATAGCGACGGACTCAAAGACAGCAAAGACACAAAGAAGCAAAAATCCTTAGAACCCTGTATTCCTCCACCCCGAATCGCCTCAGGGGCCAGGGGAAATGCAGCCAAAGCTTTACTGGAGAACTTCGGGTTCGAATTGGTTATTCAGTATAATGAGAACAGGCAGAAGGTCCAGAAGAAGGGCAAAATTGGAGAAGGCGAAAACTCTGACAAGCTGGAGTGTGGAACGTGTGGTAAATTGTTCTCGAATGTTCTTATTTTAAAGAGTCACCAAGAACATGTGCATGGGCAATTTTTCCCATATGGAGCACTAGAGAAATTTGCTCGCCAATACAGGGAGGCCTATGACAAGCTTTATCCAATTTCTCCTTCCTCCCCAGAAACGCCACCGCCTCCTCCTCCTCCACCTCCTCCCATGCCACCCGCACCCCCACAGCCTTCAACTCTGGTGCCCGTGAAAATCCCAAATGCAGTCTCGGCCCCTCTGCAAGCTCCACCACCTACTCCTCCACCACCTCCACCTCCTCCTCCTCCACCGCCTCCTCCGCCTCCTCCCCCGACTGCACCCCCACAGGTCCAACTGCCTGTTTCTCTTGATCTCCCCCTCTTTCCCTCGATTATGATGCAGCCGGTCCAGCACCCTGCACTTCCCCCTCAGCTCGCCCTGCAGCTGCCACAGATGGAGACCCTCTCTGCTGATCTCACTCAGCTTTGCCAACAGCAGCTAGGGCTCGATCCCAGCTTCTTAAGACACTCCCAATTCAAACGGCCACGGACCCGGATTACGGATGATCAACTCAAAATCCTGAGAGCTTATTTTGACATCAATAATTCTCCAAGTGAAGAACAAATCCAAGAAATGGCAGAGAAATCTGGCCTCTCCCAAAAGGTCATCAAGCACTGGTTTCGCAATACACTCTTTAAAGAGAGACAGAGAAATAAGGACTCTCCATACAACTTCAGTAACCCTCCTATAACTGTTTTAGAAGATATCAGAATTGAACCACAACCCACGTCTTTGGAACATTACAAATCAGACGCCTCATTCAGCAAAAGGTCATCCAGAACAAGGTTTACGGACTACCAGCTTAGGGTTCTGCAAGACTTTTTTGACACAAATGCTTACCCAAAAGATGATGAAATAGAACAGCTATCTACTGTTCTCAACCTCCCCACCCGGGTTATTGTTGTATGGTTCCAGAACGCTCGTCAAAAAGCACGGAAGAGCTATGAGAACCAAGCAGAAGCTAAAGATAATGAAAAAAGAGAACTCACCAACGAGCGGTATATCAGAACAAGCAACATGCAGTACCAGTGTAAAAAGTGCAATGTGGTTTTTCCCAGAATCTTTGACTTGATCACACATCAGAAAAAGCAGTGTTATAAGGATGAAGATGATGATGCCCAAGATGAAAGCCAAACAGAAGACTCCATGGATGCTACTGACCAAGTGGTATATAAGCATTGCACTGCATCTGGACAAACAGATACAGCCAAAAACATTGCAGCCCCCACCGCCAGTTCAGGCTCTGGGGCTAGCACACCCCTGATTCCATCGCCCAAGCCAGAACCTGAGAAGAGTTCTCCAAAACCTGAGTATCCTGCAGAAAAAACAAAGCAGACCGATCCCTCTCCTCCTTCTCAAGTCACCAAGTCAGCTCCCCCATCAGTACCGACTTCTTCAGAACCACAACAGACACCCATATCTCAGCCCCCACCACAGCCACAGAAACAAACCCAACTGATCGGAAGACCTCCCTCGGCTTCTCAAACTCCAATCCCTTCCAGTCCACTGCAAATTTCCATGACTTCTCTTCAGAACACACTACCTCCGCAGTTACTCCAGTACCCATGTGATCAATGTACCATTGCCTTCCCAACCCTGGAACTTTGGAAGGAACACCAACACATGCACTTCCTCGCTGCTCAAAACCAATTCCTCCACTCTCCTTTCTTGGAAAGGCCCATGGACATGCCCTACATGATATTTGACCCCAACAATCCGCTGATGACCGGACAGCTGCTGGGGAGCTCTCTCACCCAAATGCCACCACAGACTAGTACTTCCCACACCGCAGCCCCCGCCAGTGTTGCTGCTTCCCTTAAAAGGAAATTGGACGATAAGGAAGACAATAATTGCAGTGAAAAGGAGGGTGGAAATAGCGGCGAAGACCAACACCGCGATAAACGCTTGAGAACCACCATCACTCCGGAGCAGCTCGAAATTCTCTACGAAAAGTACTTGCTGGATTCCAACCCTACCCGAAAAATGCTTGATCACATTGCACGAGAAGTGGGGCTGAAGAAGAGAGTGGTCCAAGTCTGGTTTCAGAACACGCGTGCTCGAGAAAGGAAAGGGCAGTTCCGGGCGGTGGGTCCTGCCCAGTCCCATAAACGGTGCCCATTCTGCAGAGCTCTATTTAAAGCAAAGTCAGCCTTAGAAAGCCACATTCGCTCTCGCCACTGGAACGAAGGGAAGCAGGCAGGTTACAGCTTGCCACCAAGCCCTTTAATATCCACAGAGGATGGGGGAGAAAGCCCACAGAAATACATTTATTTTGATTACCCATCTTTGCCATTAACTAAAATCGATCTATCTAGTGAGAATGAATTGGCCTCAACAGTGTCAACGCCTGTTAGTAAAACAGCAGAGCTGTCTCCGAAGAATCTTTTAAGTCCTTCTTCTTTCAAAGTGGAATGTCCTGAGGATGTCGAGAATTTAAATGCCCCTTCAGCTGAGGCTGGGTATGATCAGAATAAAACCGACTTTGATGAGACATCGTCCATTAATACGGCTATTAGTGATGCCACCACAGGAGATGAAGGGGCAGCAGAAATGGAAAACCCAGGAGGATCTGCCGAGGTGAAACCTGCTTTGTCTCCGAAAGAAACCAAAACTCTCGACTCTTTGCCAAAAGCAGCAACCACACCCACCACTGAGGTCTGTGATGACAAATTTCTCTTTTCTCTCACCAGTCCATCAATCCATTTCAGTGACAAAGAAGGTGACCATGACCAAAGCTTTTACATCACCGACGACCCTGATGACAATGCTGACCGCAGTGAAACGTCTAGTATAGCTGACCCCAGCTCACCAAATCCATTTGGGTCTAGCAACCCCTTTAAATCCAAAAGCAGTGATCGACCAGGTCACAAGCGCTTTAGAACCCAGATGAGCAATCTTCAACTCAAGGTCCTCAAGGCTTGCTTCAGCGACTATCGGACGCCAACCATGCAAGAATGTGAAATGCTGGGAAATGAGATAGGTCTGCCCAAACGCGTCGTGCAGGTGTGGTTTCAGAATGCCAGGGCAAAGGAAAAGAAGTTTAAAATCAACATAGGAAAGCCTTTCATGATCAATCAAAGTGGAACGGAAGGCACCAAACCGGAGTGTACCCTCTGCGGTGTGAAGTACTCTGCCCGCTTGTCTATTCGAGACCATATTTTTTCCAAACAGCACATTTCCAAAGTGAGGGAGACCGTGGGCAGTCAGCTTGATCGGGAGAAAGATTACCTAGCTCCTACCACCGTTCGACAGCTAATGGCCCAGCAAGAACTAGACCGTATAAAGAAAGCTTCCGACGTGCTGGGCTTAACAGTCCAGCAGGCAGGCATCACAGATAGCTGCTCCCTCCATGGGATCAGCTTGCCGGCAGCCTACCCTGGACTCCCCGGCCTTCCTCCAGTCATTCTTCCTGGAATGAATGGTCCTTCCTCCTTGCCTGGATTCCCTCAAAACTCAAACAGTAAGTCTCTTAAAGGAGAGTCAGTTGAGCTAATTAGTTGGCAGTAGGTAGCCAATCACATGTAACCATGAAAGAAATGGAACATTTACATCATTTACATGCCCTCATTCCAGATCTGAAATTTAAATTATATATATATATATATATATATATATATATATATATATTTGAACAACACATATTTATACACATACACATATATACACACAACACACATACACATGCACATGCAACATGCATATTTATTAGGTATAGTGGTTAGCCAGGAAGGAGGTAAACCTGAACACACATTGGAAAATTAAGTATTGCTATATCACAGCTGTTCGTAGAAATGGATTATTTTTACCATTACACAGTCACCTCTTGGACATATTAACTTGTTAATTTGAATCCTATATGGCTTTGTGTTTGTTTGCATATTAAAAAGGTAACACACTAAAATATGCACTCACTGGTATTTTCTTTTCCAAGGGACATTTTTTTTTGCTTTTTTTTTGTATTTTTTATTTTCTGTTTTTGTTTTTCTCCTTTGTTTATTTTCCTGCCTCTGAGGTTCAAAATTAAGAGTTCTTGTGTCACAGAAATCTACTCACATTGCACCTCCCAAGCAATAAAGCTCATGTTGAGACTTCAGTGACTAAAAACCTGACTTAGGTTTTCCTTTGCAGGTTAGCTTCTTATGAAATGTGATGCTGGTACCACCACTGCTGCTCTTATTTCAGGGAATTCGCAACTTAAGAAATCTCCATGACTCGGTATCTTTCTCTCCTCCGTTCCCTCAGCCAGCTTTACAGTCAAAGCATAACAAAATGGTAGAACTTCTTGAGGTAGCCTCAAATACGGAATCCAGTTTCATGTTCACAATAATAGAATTTGCGTAGGATTTTTATTAATATAGTAAATCAGGCAGTCAGATAACTAATATTCAATACTAGTTATACACAGTCACTAAAATATAAAGGTATATTTTTTTTGTAATTTGATTTACATTTAAATTTGTCTGTGTTTTTTTTCTAAAATTATTTTTAAATACTTTCTTTAGACCTATCACTTGCTCATTTTATGTATCTGCAAAGTTTAAAATGAATGACAGAAAAACCTGTTCTCATTTTTATAAATTAGAATTTTATAATTTATTTGAATTTTAAAGTCTGCTAATATAATCCTTCTCTAACAAAAACTCAATTGCCACTGGGATCTTAAGTTGTCTTTATTCTCACTTCTAACTTAACATCCAGTGTCCTTTTCAACATTGCTGCCTGCTTCCTTCCCCATCTGGAATGCTTGTTGATTTCAGGTAGAAGTTGTGTGGTACCAGAGGAGTATCTTCAATGTGCCTCCCCTTAGCTACACAGGAACTCTTCATTTTAGCAAAGTTATTTCCTGCTTAATTATCTGGATACACTTGGGACCTTAAATATGAGACCTATAATAGCACATTTGGTTACTTTGTAGTTCTATTTTGTCTGGGTGGCATGGTGATTTTTAATGTGTCTGATGTAGAAATCCATAACGGAGCAGTTAAATAGAGTTTTTTTTTAAAAGCTAATATGGTCAAAACAATTGGAAGATCTATTTCTTATTTTATATATTGATTTTGACTTTCAGTGATTGTGCCATCAGCTTTTTTAAATTTTCATCAGCATTTTTTTTTCCTCTCCACTGGGACAGAGACCTTTTCTGGGACACAATAACATTCTGCCAAATATGTGATACTACTGAGTTCATATGAACCCAGAGGCTCATAAAAAAGGAAGAAAGAAGGAAAGAGATATTTATGAAATTAAACTATTTTTTTCATGCAACTCCACAATAATAAAATTTATATCCTCCTCTGTAATATATTTATAAATACCAACATTCCCAGGTAGATGTTGTGGGCAGGTCCTCCATGGCTAACGCAGTTAAAACCTCCAGGTACCCAGGAACTCACCACCTCATCTCTTGCTTTATTAAACTGTGGACAAAAACCAACCAGGAAGTGTTGTAAAGATCAAAGTTCCACAAATGTTGCTGCCTACTAGAATCTGCAATTTCTCTTGAAGTAGTCTTTAGTTTGTGAGTGATTCTGAACAGTAGCATTTTAGTAATCAGCAGAGCTCCATCTGGTAACCTGAGCTCCACACCTCCAGTCTCCATATTCTGTAGATTAGATTTATTTCTCTTGTGTAGAACACAGAATGCTTTAAACACCTCATGGAGTAAGGCTGGCCATTTATCCACCTGCCCATTTTCTTCCTATTGTATTTTTTCTCATCAAGTGTATACCTCCGTTTCATGGTGAAATGTGGACATCCCAGCAAATAATAACGAATGAAAATTCTTCCCAAGTTAAGTGTGTCTGTGTTTGTTTTTCTGTAATCATTTTATTGGCATATTCATCGCATGTGGTGCTGGGTCTCATAAAGACAAGTTATTCAAGTATATCATGCACATATATCATGAACATATTCATCCCCCCACAAGCCCTCCTTTCTTCCCTGCCTCCTTTCCACTAGTCTCCCATATGCTTTCTTATTATGCACACACATATATGTACATATATGTGCGTGTATGCACATACATACATATCAGTATACATACTTGGTCCTGTGGCTCTACATAAAATCTAGGACCTACTAATGAAGATAAAATCAGAATATTTGTCTTTTTGAGTCTAGCTTGTTTTGCTTAATATGATGACCTCAGTTACTTCCACTTTCCAGGTGGAGCCTTAATTTTATCCTTCTTAGGGCTGAATGAAACTCAATATGTGTATATGCCACATTTTCTCTACTCTTTCATCTTTCAAATCAAAACTACATGGAAATGCATCTCACCTCAGCCAGAATGGCAATCCTAAACAATATTACAATCCTGGCTGATGAGAATGACCAGAGACGAACACCTTTATACAGATACGGGCGAGAAGGTAGCTTATTTACACTGCTAGTAGGAATGCCCATGAGTGCAGACAATATGGACATCAGTGTGGAGGACTATCAGAAACCTAAGTGTTGATTCACTCTGTGCCCTACCTACACCTCTTCTGCATATATCACCAACAGACCCAGTGGCTTAGGTATAGAATCAGCCTAGATGTTCACCAACAGATAAATAGTTATGTCTCTATTTTTATAAATGTACAGGCTCCTGTTACACTTTATTAACTAAATAGCTATTCTGGGGAAATATGGCATTGTTATCTTAGATCCATCTTAACAAGATTTGGTTATGAAAAAACAAATTCATTTTAAATGTCACATCCCTTTGAAGATGGCTTTGAAGATTTTGAAATACTAAAACCTTCTCCAGTGAGTATGAGCCATTTGATAAATGAATGACTTTGTCCAAAGGCTGCACCTCCAATGTCTGCTACTTGCAAATACATTGTAAGTTCTATTTATGCACCCCTAACTTTCTAAATTTATTTTCTTTTACTGTTATTTCCCAATAATCATAGAATTTCCTTTACTTTCAAGTTATTTTCTTCTAATTCATAGTTCTTCTAACGTAAGGGCAACAGCTAATGTATTTTCAGTGTTATGCCAGTAAAAGCATTGCTGTTCATTTTTTAAAAGGTAAATTATTGGAGACAGGTGAGATTCACAGAAATCTCTGTGAGTTTGAGGCCAGCCTGGTCTATAAAAGTTAGTTCCAAGACAGTCTCAAAAGCTATAGAGAAGCCCTGATACAAAAACCAATAGATAGATACATAGATAGATAGATAGATAGATAGATATAGATAGATAAGTAGAGAGATAAAAAGACAATTACTGTTAGTTTAAATTTCTTTTTCACATTTTATAGTGTGTTGCTGTTGTAATGAAATGCAGAGTGAGAAAATGGCAGTAGAATGTTACATGATTATTTATAAAATACCCTGAAAAATATGAAAAACTTTAAACTTGCATTTGTCTTTCAGGCCATTGATTTCACTTTGCTCAAAAATGCTAGAAAAATTACTTTATTTTTCTGTTTTTAACTTATTTTTCACTTTAAAGCACTGTTTGATTTTAAACATTTCTTTAGTTTTTAGAAATACTAACCAGCCTTGTTTTCTTAATAATACTTTCTTTAGTTACTTATTTTGCAGTATTAAAGATAGAACCCAGGGCCTCAGGCATTATGGGAAAACAAACCCTCTAGCAATGGGCCCCTGACAGAGAAACTCTTCACATACTTCGTTTTAAATTTTCTGGCATATTTGGTGTAAATCTAGGTAAGACTAACACCATAATAATTTTGACACAATTAACTTTTGCCCCATGTACTTAATTACTTTTAGTTTTACCTCAAAAATGAAATTTTCTTTGAATAGAAAGCCTGCATTTTAGTGCATTGTGAAGCAGGTTTTCTGTTTCTGTTTTGTTTTTGTTTGTTTGTTTTGAGACAGGTTTTGTTGGAACTCACTCTGTAGGGCAGGCTGGCCTTGATCTCTCAGAGAACTGCCGGTCTTTGCCTCCTAAGTGTTGGGATTAAGGTGCTCCACCATCTCTCAGCGAGGCAGACATTTTCTTGTGGAAGGATTGTTAACAAGAATAGACAATTATTTCAGCAAAACCAAAAGAAAAATGATAATTGAATAAGACTCTTCAGAGTGAACTTTTTAATCTCAAATGAAGTTCCTAAAAAAATTGCAGTAGATGAAAAATAGGGAAGAATCTGTTCTTAGCACAGGGGCTACATGTAATACAATCCTCGAATTCTGGATATCATGAATTCTAGCTCCAGTTTGTTTTATTTTGGGGCTACCACAATTTATTCTGTATCGTAATTATTATTCAGTTTTCCTCCTATGTCTGTTGTTTTTCGCATTTTTGCTACTGAACTTTTGACTATAATTTTTTACAGACATATATTACTTACTGGAAAATTTGCCCTTTGTGAATTGTATCTGCTTTTTCTAAAATTTTTACTGAATGACTGGTTGAGTCATCTTATTTATTAAGATATTAAATTCTTAAAACACATTGCTGTCTTTGACTGGGTCCAGTATGATTCCTCCAGCAGCTTTCTAAGGCATCCTTTATTTCATTATGCCCTCTAGATTGGACCATGGGAATACCGTCTAGTGGGAAAGCTGGGGCTGACAATTAATGACCCATCTATGGTCCTCCCTACAAGTGCTCTTATTCATGTCTCTTAGATCCCTAATATTGCTCTTGTGTTCTTGTGTGAGAGAAGTAGTCAGCCCAGTTATTTTCTAAGAGTTAAGATGGGAAATTTCTAAGCGGAAGGAACTGCAGTTACTGATCATGAGGATGCCCGCTTGTATTACACCTCAAACTAAGATCGGCTGGTGAATGAAAAAGTAAGCTGGCTACTGCTGTGTTATCATTGTACCAGACAATACCTTAAATCATGTCACCACCTAAATAACTCAAGCTTGAAATTTGACAGTTAGATGCTAACATAGTATGGACTGTTGAGGGGTGAACAGCAGAGAGTGTTGTGAAATAAGGATAATAGAAAAGAAAAGAAACGAATGTCAAAAGTTAGATGTTAACATGGTATGGACTGTTTGGGGATGAACAGCAAAGAATATCATGGAATCAGGACATTATAAGGGAAAGAAACATCAAAAATGACCCAAAGCTGGGCATGTAGCTCTTGGCCACCATGTTTAAATCTTGGGTTTGATTTCCAGTATAAGACAAAGATAATTTAGTATGAAATAGAGCTTTTTCATTAATAACGACTTCATTGCTCTCTCATTTAAAACAAAAGTTGTATAAATAAGAAATTCAGAAGAACATGAAGATACCAGATACCACATAGTAAGTCAAGGGAGTAGGACTTCACTCCCAACCTATAGCTGGCTGGATTAAGGAACAGCGAAGGAGAGATTCCCCTCTCATTCCCATCCCACCCCTACAAAGCTTAATCCATTTTCATTGTAAATTCATTTTGATTGAATGAACGAGGCTTCGCTAGAATGTGGCAGCTTGATATCACCTGATACCAGTTATTTTCAAGGAATTTTCAAATATTTTAAATGTAAGAATTGATTCTGGGTCACTAGACTACAAGCCTTGAATGGCAACTGTAAAATCTGACCTCTTCTCTAACTCTTCGTGCTCCTCCCTGCTAGCAATATGAAGTATTTCATATCTTATTTATAAAATGCAATGCTCAGTGTGTATTCTCCCTGACCATCGAGGCTATTATGAGGCTGCTTTTTAACAGGATGGAGGGTCCTTAGAGATAATCATGATTATGGCTATAGAAACTGTTCACAGTCAGATCCGAGAAAGGATGGGTATGGGAAGGGCAAAATGAGAAGCTTCCAGGAATAAGGGAGACTGAAACACTACGGTTGTGAGAAGGATTGGGGAGATCAATCATACTAGGCACACATGCACACAGATATCAAAATCACGGATTCTCTATGCCCTCATATGATAGGACATAGTACTTATATTCAGTTATGCAATCCCTAACCATATATTTTAAATTATACAATGTAAATACTATACAAATAGTTTTAACGTTATCTTATTTAAAGCGGAATGACAGAGCAAAGAAATCTACATAGGTTCATTATGATGCAATTTAAAAATATTTTTAATTCATGTTTCATTGAATCCCTGGCATTAGAGCCAGTGTATATGATTGAATGGTGAAATGCCAGCAAAGAAACTGTTTACTTTTCACTAGAGAATGGCCATGAGAAGTTTCTTTCTTGTGTACGTTTGTCTGGCTTCCTTCTTAGCAGCTGCATATTGCATTTGGTCTGGAGGCAAGACTATACCCCTAGCAACAAGATGAATCGTACGACCACTGCCTGTGCAGCTATGCATTGTTAACTGCATTTTATTCATTCTGGATTGATTCTCTCAGGTCACAGAGGCACCAACACACTCCTTGTCCTGAGTACTTGGCAAAGTCTCTTTGTTCAAGCACAAAGTACCAAGGCTCCCTTTAAGATTCGGAGGATTCCTTCAGCAATTAACATTTACGTTTAAAAACATGGCCTGGAAAAGCACAGGCTTTTACAGTCCCCTTTCAACCTTTAGCTCTCCTTCAGTTCCCCAGAAGACTCTCTGTCTGGTAAAAGTGGCTTAGTTGGTTAGTTAGTTACCAGCTAATATATTTCACCGAGAACTGGGATCCAGGTGAAGTCCACTGCACTTCCATCCTCCACACCTTCACACTGCCTACTGAGCACCAATTTCCCCCTCTGAAATGGGTGGCAAGTAGTTTCCTATGTTATCAGCAAGCATGTTTTATTGAGGGTTCCATTAGTCCATCTGTTGGGGAGGTGAAGAATAACTCAAGTTCCACCCCTAGCAATGAAACTGTGGTTCTCTGTGCTCAGCTCTGGACTGATCCAGCTGTGTCTTCCTTCACTGCTGTTTGATTTTATTGGGTACTTGATGATCACTTACTGTTACCACTCACTTAGGTCATTAGCCTTTTCTGTCTATGTGAATGTGTTCTATGTACACAGAGGTTTTAAGGCTATTTGAAGGCTAATTACTTTAGTGAAGATGCTAATTGTAGGGCCATTTAGTGAGGATGAAGTGAGTCTCCCATCCTATAGGTATAATAAAAACAAATATATATATATATATGGTTTAAATGAGGCCCAGAACAGCCATCTTGTAATATGCCTCCTTTGGAAGTAAACATTGTTGTTTATCATGACGTCTTTCTGTTACATGTTTCATAATATGAGAGCCTCTTATATTCTGAATAAAATTCTGGTAAAGTTTGCAGTCCCTCTTCTGTGGAGTTATGGCAGGAGTTTAAATTAATGCAAAGAATACCATAACCACAGGTGAGTCCTAAGCTAGCCAGTGTCATGGCTTTTTATGTTTGCGAAATGCATCGTCTTGCTGTCCCAGGTCTGTTTAGGTGTTAAGCTTGCAGATGTTGTTCCTGAACTGACCGTGGCCATCTCTCTGTTGTTTTCAGCTTTAACACCTCCTGGCGCAGGCATGCTTGGGTTTCCTAGTTCAGCTACTTCGTCTCCTGCCCTGTCTCTCAGCAGTGCCCCCACCAAATCTTTGCTGCAGACTCCACCACCGCCGCCACCACCACCTCCTCCTCCTCCTTCATCCTCTCTGTCAGGACAGCAGGCCGAGCCACAGAACAAAGAATCTGAGAAAAAACAAAGTAAGCCAAATAAGGTCAAAAAAATCAAAGAGGAGGAATCGGATGCCATTAAACCGGAAAAGCATCCTAAAAAAGAGGAAAAAATCTCATCTGCTCTTTCAGTGTTGGGCAAAGTGGTAGGGGAAACACACATGGACCCTACCCAGCTGCAGGCCTTGCAGAATGCCATTGCTGGCGACCCAGCATCCTTCATAGGAGGACAGTTCTTGCCATACTTTATTCCTGGGTTTGCTTCCTATTTTACACCTCAGCTCCCTGGAACAGTGCAGGGAGGCTACTTGCCACCCGTCTGTGGCATGGAGAGTCTCTTTCCCTATGGTCCCGCAGTGCCGCAGACGCTGGCGGGGCTGTCCCCAGGGGCACTGCTACAGCAGTACCAACAGTATCAGCAGAGCCTGCAGGACTCTCTGCAGAAACAGCAAAAGCAACAGCAAGAACAGCAGCAGAAACCAGTTCCTGTCAAGACAGCCAAAGGCGAGGGCGACCAGCCACAGACCTCCAATGAAGCTTCGGAAACCAAGGAAGAAAAAAGTACTGCTCCCGAAAGCACAAAAGAAGAACCCCAGTTGGAATCCAAAAGTGCAGAGTTTTCAGACACTTACATTGTTCCATTCGTCAAGTATGAGTTTATATGCAGAAAGTGCCAGATGATGTTTACTGATGAAGACGCTACGGTAAACCATCAAAAGTCCTTCTGTTATTTCGGTCAGCCTTTGATTGACCCTCAAGAGACAGTGCTTCGTGTCCCAGTCAGCAAATATCAGTGTCTTGCGTGTGACCTGGCTCTCAGTGGGAATGAAGCACTTAGCCAACACCTCCAGTCAAGCTTGCACAAAGAGAAAACAATCAAACAAGCAATGAGAAATGCCAAAGAGCATGTTAGATTATTACCTCACTCAGTCTGCTCCCCTCCTCCTAACACCACATCTACCTCGCCGTCTGCAGCTTCTTCTAATAACACCTACCCTCATCTCTCTTGCTTCTCCATGAAGTCCTGGCCTAATATCCTTTTCCAAGCATCCGCCAGGAAAGCTGCTTCGTCCCCCTCTTCTCCTCCCTCCCTCTCCTTGCCTTCAACGGTTACCTCAAGTTTGTGCAGCACCTCAGGGGTTCAAACCTCACTACCCACAGAAAGTTGCTCAGATGAATCTGACAGCGAGCTGAGCCAGAAGCTACAAGA